GACAAATTTTGAAGAATCCCATGAAGAACAATGTGCAACCCGTGTTCTTCACGGGACTCGCCAATTCCGTACAGTGAATCAACGAGTCATTGTGCAGAATCGTCCGGTTCTCTCTAGAACCGGACAATTCCCGATTTTTTTAGCGGTTCGATCCCTCCATGGCGATTCTCGAGTCGAACCGGACGAGTTTTTTTAATTTTAAACACTGGTCCTGGCCCCAAATCTAGAAAGCTACCTTCATTCTAATTTTCTCACTCTTAATATGGAAATTTTATATTAGCGGTTTTATTATTATTATTATTATTTTAAACGTGATGATCTATGCATAATTCTCACCCTCTCTCTCTAAAACAATTGTTGCAAGAGAGGGGCAAAAAGAGAGATAATTAGATATGATGTGAGTTTTGCCGAGGGCTTCAGGTTTGGGCAACAAAACCAACATTCTATTCATATTGCAAAAATAAGGACCGTATACAATGAGGCCATTTATTTTTGATACAAGGCGATTACAATTCCTTACAACCATTTGATGTGAAATTTGATTGCTTTGATGTGTTACGAAGTTCGAAAAAATTACAACCACCCAATTTCACATCCAATGGTCAAGATTATTGAGACCACCTTGTATCAAAAGTAAATGGTCTCATTCTATATTTTTCCAAAAAAATAAAAGGACAATCAATTAATTTTTGTTTTTCCATTTAAAACCAAAAAATTATAAGTTAGATGTTTTACCACCATGTCTTTATTTTAAAATTTGCCATATTACCTATATCAAAACATCAATTACTCTCTAACAACATCAAATACATGAAAACCGAGACCATAAGAGCAAATAGCTTAGACATGCCTCAAAACCAACATTTCCTTCCTCATCATCTCTAGAGAGAGAGAGAGAGAAAAAAAACTATTTAATAATGGGAAAAAACATAATCGGATTCTTTATCAATAGACAATTGGAAATGAGATATCAATATTCACTTATTTTTACAAGACAACAAAAATTCATAGTACATTGCTTCTATTTTTTCTTGAAAATCCAAATAACATTACTTATAACTGTTTTATTTTGAATTTTTTTTAAGGTTAGATCCGGCCAATCAATTTTGCAGATGTTCGATCTTAGTCACGAATCCGTTTTTTCAAACATTATGTAGAGTTAACATAGTTTGAGTAGTGTTTGAAAGGACAGTGATCTGGATTGAAATTGGTTGACCCAAATTGGTAATTAGTAGGAATGGGCCGGTTCCTAGCTGAAAGTGGGAATTTGTCAGTTCCCTAGAAAATCAGTTGGTTATGTTAGAGAACGCTATCAAGGAATTGGGCTATTTGGCCTAGCCGAATCAACATGTTCATATTTATTTTATTTTTACCTTTTTCTTTTTCAAACTTTTTATTTTTAGTTAGCCACTTTTATCGCATGGAAATGCCAATCTTAATCAATCCTAACTAGTTTCCCCAATTGCTAGATCACCTCGATTTGGGTTTGGACTTGGTTTCTATGCGGGCCTCTTAATAAATCTATTTTTTAGATGGATTTTAAGAGTTGTTTTTTGAGAACATGTAATCTCTAACATGGAGATCGTGAATGTGAAAAAATCAATAAATTCTAACATGGAGATCATGAATATTAAAAAATTAATAAATTTTAAAAATAAAAAATAATATTTATAGTAAGAAAACTTTTGGACATGTAGTTTCCATTGTTTTTAGATGGAACACCTACTTGCATCCATCTTTAAGATGGATGCTTTACACTTTCTAGACTGTATATGTAGAAATGCGGTCCAACCTGCATAAAACAAATTTCCTTTGGGTTTTTCAACACTGGTTTTGAAAAAAAATCATCAAAGCACGTATGGTTTATCAATTATTTAATTGTTTGTGCATTTTCAACTAGTCCAATCAATCTTTTAACACCCAATGATTCTCGACTTGGATCTTCGATCCAGACTAAGAATCGGCTAGGATTGAATTAGTTCAATCGATACCAACTTGGTTTACCCCTAAAACACTGCCTTTGTATTTTGTTTATCTGTTTAAGTTTTTATTTTATAATTTCCTATGTTTCCTCTAAACTCCAACATAAACCTTTTTTTTTTTTTTTCAATATTTATATGGATCATCGAATCGGATTGATCTGGATCAACAATTTGCCAATCCGACACAGATGCATGGGGAGCGCATAGCCCACCGTTATGGGTTTTAAAACCCTGAATCCAATTTATGATCACTTGTTTTCAATAACTCTCAAAATTAGAATTTGTACACTATGCTCTCGTGTGAGTGTGAGCAAGGTACATTTAGTCAGATGAGCTGACTTATGAGAATTTATTAAAAGTGTAGTTTGGGAATTTTTTTTAATGGAATTGTATACTATAAGACTATTTACCATTATTACATGGGGTTCACAATCACTCATAGCCTTTACATATTGAATTTAAGGGCTTTGGGGTGTGTCATAAAGTTTCCAAAGTTTTATTTATGTTTGAGTTTAATTAATGACATATTTAAAACCATCCAAATTAAAATATAATAAAAAAAAAGTCGTGATCTTCTTATATTAAAAGTAAAAAATCTCTTATATATTATTATTTTACTATCAGGATTAATACAGGTTGAAGAGGTCACCTCCCAAAATTGATCTCGCATCGGTTTTTACCCGAGGGAGTGATGGACAGTATACACCCACGGGAGTATAATATCTTTTGGCTTCATATACTTCCCAAATTTAAATTTGTCATTTGAGACAAAGATAAGGTGTGCAAAGGTCTTTCTGTCTCCACCATCAGGTCTTAGCATGGGCGGCCCGTTTATTTCACCCTTATCTCTCGTTCGTGGATTTGGGGGCCTTTCATGCTGGGCGAGGGGAGGATATCATGCCATTCTCAAACCCTAAAACCCTCGACTTTAGCATTTCTACCCAGGAAAATCATGCTCAATAAGCTCAATCAGAAGGCCAGTTCTAGGGCTTCGATTGGGAATGGTTCCCTAGGAGACGGAACGGCACCTTCATCGATGGAGGGGGGTCAGAAAACCCTAGATTCGAACCAGAAGGGCCTGCGGCAGATGATAGCTTTGTATTTGAAGAAACATGGATTCTCTAAGACGCTCGCTGCATTTCGATCGGAGTCTCAGTGCGAGGTTAGTTGCAGAAGAGAGAAACAAACTCTAATCTCTCTCTCTATGCGTGTATTTACAAACAAAAACTCAGTCTTTCTCTCTTTAGCTCGAGCAGCTACGCAAAGGCCACTCTGTCTCTCTCTCTCTTTGTCTATCTCTCTCCGGTAGTTACTGGTAAACAAACACGATGCTCTCTCTCTCTCGCGAATGATCATATGGTTAATGGAGAAGTATTTTGACTTCTCTCTGCTGTATTCTGGTGTACTTGCTTTTTGAAGTTTTTGTTTTTTCGTGGACCGAGTTTGTTATATTGCTTAAGGTTTGAGGTTTTCATTGGTGTTGGTTCTTAGATTTTTCTCACTCATTGTCTCTTTACTCAACTCTCTCTCTCTCTCT